TTTTTTTTTTTTTTTTTTTTTTTTTTTTTTTTTTTTTTTTTTTTTTTTTTTTTTTTTTTTTTGACAAGTCCATTAAACCAAGTAAAGGCTGATCCAGTTGGTTGAATTTGACTGAGATGAAACAAGTCAAATCTTTTCCTTCTTTAGCGGCTTGGCCAGTTACTCGAGATTCCCGATTATTCCATTTTCTAATGTTATCGTTATTTATTGTGTGGGACATTTGCAATATGATGTAAAACGGTTTAAAGCACCTATCTGGTTTAATTTGTCTAGTTGGCCTTTTATGTTTGATTGAAATGGCACATATGGTTCGTAATTTGTGTGCATGTATGCTAGTTTCATTAAGAACTAAAGACATGATTTAAGAGAAAGGTCAAAACAAGTATAGGGTACTTAAAACTATTTTTTTATGACAAGAAATAAACTTTTCATTGATAAATGAAAATTAAAGAAAAATGTTCAAGAATAAAAACTTCCAAAGGGAGTGAAAAGAAAACAAAACATGCAAATAAAGAATAAAAAAAGGAGATGGAAAGAAAAGGTGGAGATGGAAAGAAAAGGAGGTTCTTCCATCTCAAATTTTGAATTCTAGTGACATGTCAAGTTTAATGAAAATGTCTCAATTTTTCAATGTGATACTGCATGACCTCAACCCTTGGTGCAGAAGTAGAATTCCTAAAATTTATCATCAATTTCACTTCTGGAACAGGCAACGTTGATTGGTGGTGGAAGTCTCAATCTATGGATATAAATGTTTTTGAGGTCGTTCAAATTCTGGTTACTAGTCTATCTAGGAAATTAAATAATATTTGAATATCCTAAAATCAAATGTGGTAAGATTAGATAATTCCGTAGGATTAGTCAGGGAGTGTGAGCTTGTCTAGTCAACCACAGCTATAATAAAAAGTCCTCTTAAACAAAGACTATTATGCTGAAATGTTGATTTTGTGGTCAAAATATTGGACATGATAAAATAATATTTATGTTGATTACCCCTTGCCACAGATCATAGGTTTTAGGCCATTGAAACTTTATAATCATGGGGATCCCCAAAGAGACTCTTTCCAGTACACTAGATTTGTTTGAAACTTTGTGTTAATAGCTGGGAAAAGAAATGGTTTCGGTGGGGAGTTGCAGCCAAGATTATCAAGAAGTACCTTTTGCTTCCATCTGGACGTAGCTGTTTTCAATCACATGTCAATAGTGAAAAGTATCTTTTCCAAGAATGGAATGCTTATTACAATTATTTTGTGGGCTTAGAAATGGTTCATGCCTAGTTGCTTTATGATTGGATATGCCTCTTACTTTGTGCAAATTGAAGAACTAGTTAAATTAACCAGAGGTTGATCTGTTTTCAGGCTTCTAACTCCTCCTGGAACTCCTCTTTTTCCATCTTTGGAACCAGACTCAGAAAGGGTCTTAATGAGACATGCTACTCCAATGGGTCGATCCAATGTGCTGAAATCTAGAGTAAGTTCTCTCTCAAGTCTCAACTTCCATAAGTTGAAGAACATGGTGAGATTTGAGTATCTTTGGTTCTTAAAAACATAGATATAGTTATACTTGTTAAAGAGTTCTTTTTAACCTTCCACGTTGCGTTTCATTTTGGAAGTTCCATTTCTTGGGAAGTTCAGTAGGAAAAAGCTGGAATTCAGCACTTTGTCTCATCATGAAATTAAATCACTCGAGACAGGCAAAAGAGTTTATTTTCTTCCTTTGGTAGATGATTATATTAAGCTTTGATGTTTTTGTTCCCAAGTATGTTTATGCCAGTGTCATAGTTTGTTCACTATCAGAGCAAGACGGATCGATTTTTCGTTCATAGACAGGAGAAAATCTACTGGCCTACATTCTTGAATTGCTTGGAATTTTACGCTTATAATGACACCTACCAATTTTTCAATCTTATGCTCGTATCTGATAATTTTGAACATTCCTCACGCATTTCAATAGCAGTTATTTTTGTCGTGTTATTAATTTTCTCTGTTTTTTAATATGTTTCCTTTTGTGGTTTCAGCTCGGAAATCTCCAACAAGAACCTACTACTACGAGGAGCAACTTGGTCCCAAAACAAGCAACTTCTTCTCCAGGATTGAACTCCTCAAGTGTAGGCACACGTCGTCCTTCATCATCCGGAGGTCCTGGATCAAGACCTGCTACCCCAACTGGACGCCCTACATTAACCACAACATCTAGAACTTCCAGATCCTCAACGCCTACTTCCCGTGCAACTTTGCCTTCAAATAAACCAGTAGTTTCCTCGGCTAAGCTTGCAGCAACTTCTAATAAGCTGGCAGTTGCCTCAACCAAGCCAACAGCTACCATGAGTAAGCCTACTGTTTTATCTGCTAGGTCCTCAGTTCCTTCAAGATCTTCTACTCCAACAAGAACAGCAAGATCATCAACCCCGACTTCCAGACCTACTGTACCTCCAGCTAAGCCCACATCAAGGGCCTCAACTCCAACTCGTCGGCCATCCACACCATCTAGTGCACCAAGTGCACCTGTTTCCTTAGTCAAGTCTTCATCATCAATTTCAAGGCCATCCCCAACAGTGTCAAGGAATCAAGCACCATCAAGGGGAGCTTCCCCAACAGTAAAATCCAGACCATGGAATCCTTCAGAAATGCCTGGTTTCTCACTCGATGCTCCACCCAATTTAAGAACATCACTTCCTGAAAGGCCACTTTCAGCCACAAGGGGTCGGCCTGGAGCACCCAGTGCACGATCTTCTTCTGTAGAACCTGTTCCGAATGGTAGGCCAAGAAGACAATCTTGCTCTCCGTCTAGAGGACGTGCACCTAATGGAAGTATTCATCTCAGTGGAGGTTCTGTCCCTGCAATTAACCGTATGCATTCTAAAGCTAATGACAACATAAGCCCTGTATTAATAGGGACGAAAATGGTTGAAAGGGTAATAAGCATGCGCAAATTGGTCCCTCCCAAGCAAGATGACAAACATTCACCTCATGGGAATCTGTCTGGGAAGTCTTCATCACCAGATAGCACTGGCTTTGGGAGAACACTATCTAAGAAGTCTCTGGATATGGCAATAAGACACATGGTATGTATCTATTTGTTCTCAAAGGATCTTTGTTGTGGAAGGGAATTTTTATTTTTCCTTTCTATCGTCATTCTGGGATAAACTTCACTGTCGGTAGAAAGTGAAAAGATCAATAGGCAATGTCATACTCACACACGGATTTCTTTTCAATGCATATTCTTGTTTAACACTACGCACACTTTTCTTGAGCAGGATATAAGACGAAGCATTCCAGGTAATTTACGCCCATTGATGACAAATATTCCAGCTTCTTCAATGTATAGCGTACGGTCTGGGCCATCTCGAAGCAGAAATATCAGTGTTTCAGACTCACCTCTTGCCACGAGCAGCAACGCTAGTTCTGAAATGAGTGTGAATAATAATGGACTCTGTCTAGATTCACATGAAATTGACGACGAAATTGGCAGCGAGAGAGGAGGTCGATCACCCCGCAGCTTGTGTGCTAGGTGAAGCTGATGGTTCATTTGGAATTAAACTGCCATTCTGATCAATCAAGTGTTTCATTTTGGATATCAACTTTCATGATGGTACAAAGATGATAATCATGGAAGTGATAACCAAATCATGTGTCTAGGACTAATGTAAAGTTTATTGAGTCGCTGATTGTTGTATTTATGTAACTCCAGAGCTTTGTATGGCTTAGAGGAACAAAGGAACATGATATATGCTGAACTATGTTCTTACGCATTTGCTACACGGTTGACGTAATTTCTACTTAACTTTTGATTGTTAACCATTAACAATAGCAGATCCCACAACTAGCCTTCATGAACTGGAGGGAACAAGTAACAATAATGCTATGCTGTAGGCAAACCAATCAGTAAGAATTAGAGAGTGCCTGGTGTAGAAGCTGCATGTTCTGCTCAAGTTCCTAGTCAAAGAATGAATATCAATGATGCTGTTGCCCAACTACGCCTTGCAAGACAAATTTTTTCCGTAGGGATTGGACGTATGAGCGTAATACCTTGGTGAAAACTAGCAAGCTATCAAACCTCATTGATCAGTAGCTAGCTAGTGCAAAATCATGTCTTCCTAGTCGGTGGTCTTGCTCAAATTTAGGATTGTTTTTAAATAAACCAAGGCATGGATATGTAGTACAATTCTCCTATTGCAAGGAAGACCGAACATTATCTAATGGGCTTGAAACGAGACTCTAATAGAGCCTTCATCAAGTGAGTTGTTTTTCAAAATTTTTTAGTTGCATGATTGTGGCAAATTCAATCAGTTTGATAAGAAAGAAAAGTCTTTTATGATCATGATCTTCCAATAAGTAAAGAAGAGTATCGTCGATGATTTGATTTGCTTACATTAAATATTGGTAAGTTGCGCATATATTAATATTTTTTAAATGAAATAATTTTTTAGCAAAATATTAGCAATCCACCAATATAATGTAACAAATTATTCCTAGTAATAAATAATAATAAATGGAACGTAAAAATAATTACGTGTCAAGAGGTTAGCCGAACAAAATTAATTGATCCGGTATAATTTTGCCACCAAAAAATTGTATTGATTATTGAGGGAAACCAGGAACTACCGAATTTCGTTCCTTCGCAGGGCGTCAAACGGTCAAGGTATGGTCGCGAGGTCCCTGTGGCGCGCCGGAGCGAAGGTCGCGATGGCGGCCACCGCAATAGGTGGTGGTGCCGCAGCGGCCTCCATAGCTGCCTCCGACGACCCTTCTATGGCTCTTAAGCTCTGCACCACCGTCCCGGTCCGCCTCGTTCGCCTTTCGTTTACCGTCGCAACCGTTGCCTTCGGTATGCATTCCTACGTTTTGACTTGCTGTAATTTCGCGTTTAATGGCTTTTGCGAGAGTTGATATTTCGGTTGAGTTGGTTGCAAGGTTTTCGCGATCTGGTTTATGTTTCTCTCTCCAAAGGGAAGTTTGAGGCTTAATTGTATGCTAAGAATAATTGCTGGTACTGGTAACCTGGGATCGGAAATTTGGAATTGAGCTTTTCATGCTTGTTTACCTGTGCTGGCGTCTGTGAATTATAGGCATTGAGTAGTTTAGGGCTTGAGTAGTTTGTTCAATAGTTGAATAACATTATGTTCATGTATTTTACTCCGTTTCATCATTCCCATTTAATGTAGTTATCAGAGAGCATTAATTTTTCAATCATCTTTTTTCTTTGTTCAAGATGTTAAATTTAGATTTATACGTTGACCAATCCTGAATCTGTTTTTTGAATTGGCATCATCCTTCTCTTTCTAGATTACGAATATTCACTGTGGAGATTTCCTGAAGGGAGTAGTGAGAGGGAAAAAGTTAAGCATGAAGTACACCTTAGATCTGCTCGCAGAATTCAAGAGTTATGCTTCAAAAATGGAGGAATATATATTAAGCTTGGTCAGCATATCAGTCAGTTGGTACACCTTCTATCCACATAGCAAGTGATGAAAAAAAGGATGGGCCTGCAATCCTTAATTTACCTTACCTCGTCTCTCATGCAGGAGTATTTGGTGCCCCAAGAATATGTCCAGATAATGAGAGAATATATGTTGAACAGATGCCCAGTATCCCCATACGATCAAGTGTGTGAAGTGGTCAAGAGAGAGCTTGGTGAAACACCGGATAAGGTATATTTCATTGGTACATCTAATTGATATAATCAGACTACGCATTCATTCTGTTGAATGGAGATTATTCTTGAAATCTGGTCTGGCAGAACTTGGTTAACATCATTTGACTCCTGTTATTTCGTATATCCCGTTTCTTATTGCTATTGTATAACACCTTTATTTTATTATAAATGATATTTTGGCCTCATGATGTAAACTTTCTCGTGTGTAGATCTTTTCTGAATTTAATCCTGATCCAATTGCTAGTGCTTCCCTTGCTCAAGTGCATGTTGCTCGCACCCACGATGGGCAGAAAGTTGCTGTGAAGGTCTTGTTGTATTCAATAATTTTTAACGTGAATTCACATTTAATTTGACTTTTGAGAGTTCCTTCTCAATCTTGTTTACCAGTAGCTCCCTTACATACAGGTGCAGCACACTCATATGACTGATACTGCGGCTGCAGATCATGCTAGTGTTGCATTAATTGTGAATACCATATATCGACTTTTTCCTTCTGTTGATTATAGGTAATGTTTTAGAACCTATGAACTTTTTAAGGGTTTGTAGATGAATTGCATCCTGTCCATGAAAAGCACACATAAATTATGCATCTATGTACTCTGTAATAAAAAAAACTTATGCATCTATCTTGAAGAATGTGCTGCAATAATGATATTGTTCCAGAGACTTTTGATGATATATATGATCCCTTATGATGGTTTTTTTTTTTTTTTTTTTTTTTTTTTTTTTTAGGTGGTTGGTTNCAGTGAAAGTTTGCCAAAGGCAGGTTATCCTTTCTTTGTCTCGTACAATCCTTTTAGTTGTATGCCCATCTCCTACAGTCCTTTTGCATTGGTTATGCATACACTCTTCAATGTCATGAAAACTCTTCCCAGATATTCTTTATTTTTTCACGTGGATGCCAATAAATTTTCCCTATATGTTTTTTCAATTGTTTAATTGCCAAACTTTATAACAGTTAGCTTTATAATTAAGAAAATTTAGGATATTCAATATCCTTATTTGCTAGCTTCTAATTATGAATTTAAGCCCATGAAAATTCAATTGGTTCAGATTACTCTTACCATTATGATTTAATGCTTGAGGTTTGCATGTCAGTCTTCTCATTCTTAAATCAGGCAGATTTCCTTCTTAACGATGTATTCTTGAGATCCTAGTTAACGTGTTTTTCCAAGATTTTTATAAACTAATCTCCAATATGCAAATTTTCTGGGCTTAAAATATTATGTAATTATATGCCTTCTTTGTTTTGTACAATATTGAATTTGATGTTCCTCTCCTCAATGCTCACGTTTTCAAGATTAATCTCAAGGTTAGGAACTTCAATGGATTTTTTTTTCTTCTATTTCACTTGTAATCTTTCTATCCAAATTGATCTCCTATGTTGTCATCAGAAATATCTTGAACTTGGATGAGAGTATAGAAATTTTCTGGATGCACTATGTTAGGAGCTTTATTTTGAATGAACAAAAATTACTTTGATTAAACAATGAGGGATGCTGCCCTAAATTTTATGGTATTTGAGTCACCGTTTTGCAGTGGCACATCATCAGTTAGTTTTCCATGGGTAAGATTTTGTGATAGTGGAATTACTTTGTTTTTTTTTTTTTTTTTTTTTTTAGACAACTAATTCATATGCCCAGTAACTCCCAGTATTTTGGGTTGGATTTTGATGTATGAATCTAGATAGGAAACTTTATTTTATAATCTTCCCCGAGTAGCAGCTGCAACCTATGAATTTGGAACTCACTCCATATTTTTTTTCCCTCTTTTGATGCTTTCCATCTTTGATAGTACCGTTATTGACTCAGTTTTATCTCCTCCTCAGGAACTTGATTTCTTAGGTGAGGCCAGGAACAGTGAGAAATGTCTGGATAACTTTCGAAAGTTGTCTCCTCATATTGCGGACTATGTGTATGCTCCAAAGGTCTATTGGAACTTAAGTACCTCAAAGTTATTGACCATGGAGTTTATGGATGGTGCTCAAATAAATGATGTTCGGGCCATTCAGAGGCTTGGGATTCAACCATCAGAAGTTGCAAAATTAGTAAGATCATGCACTTCACAATTCTGTTTATAACATATTAGGTTTTTTTATGAGCATCATTTTTATTTTGCCTTCGTTCACCGAGTGTTCCTTTCTATAGCCCCTTGATAGTCCTGTGCCCGAGTGGCTTGTTAACTGCATATATTCTAACATGTTGCAGCTTAAGTATTTCAAGTCTGACAGTGCAAGATATGTTATCTACTGTCTGCGTGTCTGTTTAGTTGTTGGATATGCAATTTGAATCAGAGTTGGTTTGTACTTTTTTTAACAGTTGTTGATTGACCAGCTAGAAGATGCATTATGGTTCAGGAATTCAGACCATTCATTTATATGTTCTTTTAACTTTTTATTTAAATGTTTGCTTGACCTTATCATGAATTAATGATACAGGTTTTACTTCACTTGCTGAAAAATTACGTTTCGAAACTATTTATATAGGTTAGTCATACATTTGCTGAGATGATATATAAGCATGGATTTGTGCACTGTGACCCTCATGCTGCAAACTTGCTTGTTCGTCCCTTGCCTTCTGGCAAAAGGAGCATATGTGGTGAGCTGTTACTAAATGATCAATTGATTTTTCTAACGATGTATTAGTTAAACCTGTATATTACTTCTTGGGATATCAATGTCGATTTGTCAATTCTCGTTCTGTCAACACACAGGCAAGAGGAAGCCACAGTTAGTACTTTTGGACCATGGGCTGTACAAAGTTCTCGACTCCAACATAAGATTTAACTATGCTGCCCTTTGGAAGGTAATTCCTTTACAATTCATCCAAGTGCCATCTCACTGTATTCCTGTTGCCAGCA